GCTCCTACTGACATTGTTCCAGTTGCTGAGAGCACACAGGGCATGAAAGTTATGGGCTCCACTTCAATTACAGGTGAGACAGATACTTCTGATATGACAACACCTCCTGGTTTCCCTAAGCCTCTATTTGCTCATGTAGCCCATAATACCGACATAGGATTTCCCTCAGGATTGGTTCCTTCATCCTCAGTCCTTGAGGAAATCACTGTGGGAAACTTAAACATTGAGGAGAAGCATTTGGGGGTAGAAGGAGTCAAGGTTTGGAAGAGGCAGTTTGCTCCAACTGCTGAAAACAGGGATATCATTTAGGTACCAGTGGACTGGACTAATTTCTTATCTGTTGTCCTATTAACTCCCAGCAAATTTGATTGGGCCATAAGATTTATTTCCTCTTCTGTGTGGGAAATTATTTGCCAAGGAGCTAATACCAACATTATCCCATTTGTTATCCCAAAGTCTTGCCCAGTTGATACCTCACTGGAATGCCTTTTGTCTCAGGATGCTGGGGAGAAGAACTCTTCCCCATTGGCAAAAAACAGCATTACTGAAGCCATGTCTGCTTCATCAACTTCAGCCCCGCACAGAAACAAAAAGAGGAAAGAGAATGTGCCACTTGTTGAAACAGAGGTAAGAAGAAGTTGTAGACTTCAGAAAATTAACAAAGGATTTAAGAAAATAGTTTGTAAAGATAAAGATTGCCTGGCATTCCATACTGTCCCACCTTTGATCCCACCTAAAGTTGTTAAAATTTTAAACACCTCTTTTTGTAAGGTCTCTGAAAAGGATTCAACTGAAGAATTACTTAGCAAGAAACACAAGTAGACCAAGAGTGGAGGCGCAAGCATAGAGGGTGCCAGGACTGCTAAAGAGCAGGGCAAGAAGGGGAACTAGCACTTCCATTAGCTAGATCCAAACCTACTGAACTATGATCATGTCTTTTGCTTTGTATTATATGGTCCTTGTAATAAGTGGAACTGTGATGTTTGCATGTGATGCTGTTAATGTGGCACCTGACATGAATCATGTGGGAAGATGTTACTTGTGCAAGAATTTAAGCCTCTTTTGTAAGAATTTGATTGATCAGGTTTCTGTATCTGCTGGGTCTGGTTCTGAATTAAACTCAGCCTGGGTTCTGTTTTTCCACATTAATGAATAGAGACTGGAACATTTTAAACTGGAACATCAGAGGTATCAATGATCCTAAGAAATGGACTGCTATAGCCAATAAAATTGAGGAGTCTCAATGCTCCATTCTCTGTTTACAGGAAACTAAAAGAGAATCTTTTGACAACTTCTATCTCAGAAACTTCTGTCCCAAGAGGTTGGGTAAATTTGCATTCCTTCCTTCTAATGGTGCTTCTGGAGGGCTGCTAGTTGCATGGAATGAACAAATTTTTTCTGATCATCTATATCAAGGCAATGAATTCTCACTTTCAGTCATCTTTACATCCAGGCATAATGGAGAAAAGTGGATTTTAACTAATGTTTATGGGCCCTACCAACCTGATGACAAGATTATCTTTTTGAATTGGCTTCAAAACTTTATTACTCCAGATGGCATCCCTTGGTTATTGATGGGGACTTTAATTTTATCAGATACCCACACAATCATAGCAGGGAAGAAGGTTGCATCAATGACTTTCTTTTAATGCAGCTATTAACAGATAGGCACTCATTGAAATCCCACTCAAAGGCAGAAAATTTACCTGGAGTAACATGCAGGAAGCACCACTTTTGGAGAGGTGTTTCACCTCTGAAGATTGGACCAAGATATACCCAGCAACTTTTGCTACCCCACTAGCTAAAACAACCTCTGATCATGTGCCTATTAAAATTCAGATTGGGTCATCGATACCCAGAGCCAACCTTTTCAAATTTGAGAATTTCTGGTTAGAACACCATCAATTCAAAGAGGTTTTCAGCTCTATCTGGTCACAAAAGGTTCAGGAGAGGGACAGTGCCCAAATCATTGCCACTAAGTTCAAGAGATTGAGAAAGGGACTTCAGAATTGGGCCAAGAACCTGTCAGACCTGAAGAAAATTATTGCAGACACCAACTTCATGATTTTCTACTATGATATCATTGAGGAGTTCAGGCTTCTATTTGTGGAAGAACATAATGCCAGGAACATTCTTAAAGTGCATATTGAAATCATTCTGGACTATCAGAGACAATACTGGAAGCAAAGAGCCACTATTAGGAAAATTAAAGTGGAGAAGCCAATACTAAGTACTTACATGCCAAAGCAACTATAAAGTTCAGAAATAACTCCATTTCAATGATCCAAGATGAGCAAGGACAGGAACATCATGATCACAAGGCCAAAGCTGCAATTTTATTCAGAGCTTTTAAAGAAAGAATGGGCACAGTTACACCCACATCAAACCCACTGAATCTGCACCAACTGCTCCAGCCACTGGATAATCTCACAGAACTTGAAGTTCCATTTACTAAGGAGGAGATTGATAATGTTATTAAGGATATGCCTGCAGATAAAGCCCCAAGACCTGATGGTTTCAATGCTGCATTCCTGAAAAGCTACTAGGACATTATTGGCCCTAATTTCTATAAATTGATAAAATATTTTCACGCAGGTCAAGTCAATATTCAGAGTATCAACCACTCCTTTATCACACTTATCCCAAAGAATGACTCTGCAGCCTCACCATCAGAATTCAGACCCATTTCTCTGTTGAATTGCACACTCAAGATTCTAACTAAGCTGCTTGCAAATAGATTACAGAAATACATTCTGAACATGGTGCACAGAAACCAATATGGTTTCCTTAATAACAGATGTATTCAGGATTGCCTAGCTTGGTATTATGAGTATATTCACCAATGTCATCAAAGCAAAAGAGAATTGGTCCTTCTGAAATTGGATTTTGAGAAAGCATTTGACATGCTTAATCATGAAACTGTCATTGAGATCTTGCAAGCTAAGGGATTTGGAAATAAATGGATTCACTGGATTAGAATGATCTATGGTTCTGGCTTTTCTTCCATTCTGCTTAATGGAGTTCCAGGGAAGCAATTTCTCTGCAAGAAAGGAGTCAGACAGGGGGACCCACTTTCTCCATTGATATTTGTGATTGCAGCAGACCTTCTACATTCTATACTCAATGAAGCATAGCAGAATGCTTTGATTGAATCTCCCCTAATTCATGATTCATGTCCTGACTATCCAGTCATCCAATATGCTGATGATACAATTTTAGTGGCAAAGGCAGATGCTACTCAACTGATGCACATTAAGAACCTGCTCTTACACTATGCTGACTACACTGGTCTTAAGGTTAATTACTCCAAGTCCATCATGATCTCTATCAACACTCCAGCACAAAAAAGGCTGAATTATCCACTCTACTTGGATGCAAGATTGGCTCCTTGCCACATACCTATCTTGGACTGCCTCTCTGTCTGAAAAAACCAAGAATTGAGGACTTCATCCCCATGCTCAAAAGAATTGAAACTAGGCTGTTAAGTTGCTCCACAATGATATCCACTGGAGACAAATTAACTTTGTTAAAGTCTGTATTCACCAACTTACCCACCTTCATCATGTGCACATTGGAGGTTCCAAGGGTTGTGATTAAGCAAATCAACACTTACCTCATGGACTGCTTCTGGAGAAAATTTGGTACTCGGGAAAGAGGAATGGTGAATATTTCTTGGGATGTTGTCTGTAAGGACAAGGATCAAGTAGGACTGGGAGTTTTAGATCTAAATGTCCACAATCAAGCGCTGCTCATTAAATTTCTCCATAAATTTTTCAATAGAGCTGATATCCCATGGGTTAACATAATCTGGGAGACACATTATCAAGACAAGCTCCCAGGGGACAGTAAGCTTGGGTCTTTCTGGTGGAGGGCAGTACTTAAACAGCTGGATACATTTAAACAGCATGCAGTTTGCAAACCAGGGCTTGGTAACATTGTGTTGTTTTGGACTGATAAGTGGCAGGACACAACTCTTCAGCAAAAATACCCACAACTGAACTCATTTGCTAACAGTCAGAGTATTTCATTGCAGGAGGTGCTCGAGGCTAGTGATATTAGTCATCTCCTTCACAGACCTTTGTCAGTCTAGCTACACTCCCACCAGAATTTGCTATGGACATGATCATGATGGGATGCTGGAGTATTTGGATGAGCAGAAATTACAAGATCTTCAGAAGAGCTACTCCAACGATTGATACCTGGAAGTTCTATTTGAAAGAAGGCATGGCAAAAGAAGAACTTAGAGCTAAAGCAGATAAGGCACTCAAGATTCGTACCTGGATTCAGGCTTTGTATATGTACATATTTAATTAATGAAAATTTACCGTAGAACAATTGTTCTACGGTCTTGGCTTCAAAAAAATAGATGTTGGGCGTCATATGTGGCTTCTTGCACCTCCAGATCATTTATGTATCCTTGAACAGTTGCTATCTAATAAAGCTACGCTGTTTATCTAAAGAAACCCAGAATATATAAGTTGTATATATGTGGTCTTGGAGATCTTGGGCCGAGACCAAGACGAGTTATCAACCAAAGCATCATGGGACATGTATATCATGTAAGCCCATACTTTCCTCCATCCCAAAATAAGTTTCTCAACTTTGTACTAACTTTAGTACTCCCTCCGTCTAGGTGCACAACCTAAGATGACTTATACACGTAGATGGATTTAGTACAAAGTTGAGACACTTATTTTGGGACGGAGGGAGTAATAAATTGGTTACTACTCCGTCCAATCCATAATAAATTGAGTACCAAGTTGCGTTTTGCAAAGACTTCACAGGCATACAACTTAATAAGCTACTCCACCAGTTGGCCACTGCATTGTAAATATTACGAATCACAAAGTGCAAGGTGCCTCATAAGGGAAGATCGATGCAGACAACTCGCGTCAAGTCTAGTTGAAGTTGAAGACCTAATTAATGTTCCACTTGATATTGATCATCCACAATGTCAATATAGTGCCCTTTTTTGCACCAAGAAACACGTAACAATCTGTTCACTGTTGCAAATCAACCTCCATGCTGGACTTGTCTGTGTCACTGCTTGTAGGCGTACAAACCAAGGATTTGCGAGCTCTCTGGGGGGGCCTGCTTGTCCCAGGGTTTTTGGGTTCACCTTTACGCTTTCCTCCAAGGAACCCCAAGGCAAGTGCTTCCAAAGCTTTTGCAGTCGGAGGTCTGTTCCTGGTTCCATGCCTCCGAGACTTCACCTGTGAAGCCAGATCAGGTTGCAGGCTAGCAGGTTGTCCTGTTGCCTCTGAAACATCATGGACACAATCGCTGTTTGAAACGGCAAGGCCTTCCTCAGCCTTCATGTAACCATGATCGTCTGATGAAGCGACACATACCCTCGTGCTTATCTTATGATCTAGTGATGTCTCCGGTTTAACCAAACTGGTAACCTGCGCCCCTTCTTTGGCAACTTTCGCCTCAGCGGTTCTGATCTTTGAACAAACTTTAGGCACCACCTCGACCTTGCACTCAGATGACTTGTCCTCATTTAAACTGGACACATTCACCTTCTCGTTTGATCTGTCAGTGGTACAAGAGTTTGATGCAACCGTTATCTGCTCGCATGGCTTCTCCTTCGTGGAATATCTCGCAATTATTTTAGTCCGAAAATTGTCACTGACATCAGCTGCAGTTGGTTTTGTTGAAGTCCACAGCGGCTTGATTTTCTTTCTCTCTAAACCATGTCCTTTCGAGAAAGAAAAGCTGTGCTGACTGGTCCGATCATTGCTACAGCTGGGTAAGCTTCTGTGCTTTGACACTGGGGTTAAATACTCGAGTCTTTCAGTTTTTGTTTTGGGACCAAAGAGGCATGTCATATCAGTTTTTTCAGTACTGCCATTAGAAGAATGGCCATTGACTGGAAAACTCGACGATGGTGCAGCCAACATGTTTTGCAATGAATTGACTTGGTTTTCTTTGCCTGCATGGCATACTGAAACTATTTCGGCATCATTCACATCAGCTGTAACTTGTCGACAATCTGCCTGGTCATCTGATGATTGATCTTCCGCATCTTGCTCCTCTGAGGAACTGACACTCACAGTATTATAAGAATGACGTGAAGGACCAAAATGGACATTTACATCAGGTGGTAATTTCCTCAGCTCTCTGACTCTGAAGGGCTCTTCCCCTTGGACCAAGGTAGTATCGATAATTGTGAACTTTGGAAGCTCCTGATATCCATCCAAAGGACCATCATGGTTCAGACTCATGTCTGTAGCATATCCACACTGCTCAGCAGTAACACCATTGTCCGCTCCGCCAACTTCTACCTCAAGAAGAACGGGATCCGCCGCAACTCGCTTAAGAACATCGCTGACAGAATCAAAATAATGAGTGCCTTTAGTGAGTTTCCTTCTCGAGATTTTTTTGATACCTGGCACAAGAAACACAAGGCAATTCTTAGTTGTTCTGACATCTTTTGACTGCTCTGAACGCCACCCTCTTGCAAGCAAACGGGGCCAGACAGCTTCCCAGAAAAGTTCATTAGATCTTGTCTTGCTTATTCTGAAACCACCTGTTAAGAACTTAATTATATCTTCCGAAGCAAGCAAGGAACAATCTTTGCCTGTAGGCATGTCAGGGTAAACAGAAGGAGCTTGGTTTGGTTTAGATCGGTCCAGAACATATCCAGTCAAATCATGCTTCCCTTTACCAATTCCAACAGCCTCCACAAAAGCTTCTGTTCCAACAGAGGATTTTATAGCAAAGACAAGATCCTCTAAAGATGCTTGTCCGGCGTTGAAAGATTTGAAAATCTGCAACAGGCGAAAGCAATACAATTCCTGGTAAAAACAAAGCAATATAATTCATATGGAAATGGATGATGGAAGAATAGATTTGTTTTTTGGCTTTGGATCAACACGATTTCACTCGTTTATTTGTCCTGGGAATAACGGATTAAACAATACCAAGTGCTCCCTCCGTCCGGAAATACTTGTCGGAGGAATGGATGTATCTAGACGTATTTTAGTTCTAGATACATCCATATTTATGCATTTATCCGACAAGTATTTCCGGACGGAGGGAGTACATAATTAAAGCTAGAAAAATAAGAAGAAATCAGGACAGCCAAATGGATTTAACAATACCAAGCACCTGCAATGGCTTTGGTTTTCAGGTTTCAGGTTCATAATCGTTACTGAACATCTATATAAACTGCATCAGAGTAGTCAGGTATACTGATATACTCCCTCCGTAAACTAATATAAGAGCGTTTAGATCACTACTTTAGTTATCTAAACACTCTTATATTAGTTTACAGAGGGAGTACAAGTGAAGTAGAGCACTAAACAGACTCAGTTGCCTGAACTATGGAGATTTGGAGTAGTATAAAATGAAGAAAAATCAAGATCAAACGTGTTATTTTGAACAATGCAAGTGGAACCAAAAGCTTGAACTAGAGATAATCTCGAAAGAGAAGTTTTTAAAACTCGAGAGCAGCCAGTTAAACTGGGGAAAACGGAATTGATGACTTCAATGGATTGGTTCCCTACTTCCCTTGAAAGACATACATGCAATCGCATGTTTAAAGAATGACCATATGTGCAGCAGCAGCAACAACTCTTCGACATCAACAGAGAGAAAAAAAGAAAAATACACCAGAAGAAAAGTGAGAGATTTTTTTTTTCAATATTGCACATCAAAATTAGAAAATTGAGTAGTACATATCAACTGGACTTTGCACAAACCGTTCCTTCTGACAATCTAAGTTAAAAGAGAAATGAGGAAAACAAATCTAGCCACAGAAGGGCATAGTGAATGCTAGAATGTACACAAAAAAGTGTTCAAAGTGAGGGTCAAACTGACACAACTCATCTGATCATGGGGATAATTTCATATTGGGCCCTTTCACTAATTAACCAGCAAACAAAAACTAAAGGCAAAAGAGATCAAAATTATTTCTATGGCCTACATTTGCAACGTACCTCGACCAATGAATCATGAACTCCTTCGAGGATTACAGATTTCAAACGAGATATAATCTCCTGCTGCCGCCAACCTGTAAAGATGCGTTCCCCAATAATGCATCTCGTAGTTCTTGCTTTTCTGCAGTCCGACCATCTTTTATAAGCATTTCTTTTGTAGAATATTCCATAGTAGTATGAGAGTACATCCCCAACGGTCTTATTACCAAGAAACCTGCTCAAGAGGCTTAGATTTTTGCCGAAAATGTAGAGCCCGAGAAGAAAACATTCTGCCTCAGTAGCACTCCAAAGCGAACTGGGCAAACCGGGCAGTGGAGTAAATTGCTCGATTTCCCCTTGTTGGGTCAACAACTTATTGGTAAAACCCGGACCTTCTTGAGTAGAGAATGGAGCCAAGTTCTCATCATGTGCTTGATTGATGCAAGATTCTATCTGATTAACAGACAGCATTGAATGTTGATCCTGGTATGTTGAATCATGGGCATTTGTATTATTTCTGATTGGATAAATTGAGGGCACCTGACTATCCTCGCCTTGGTCGCTAGCTCTTGCTTCGTATTCTGAAGAATGCTGCCTTCGTGAATCGTCCTCCTTATGGACTTCACTTGGTACCCACATGATTGGTATAGCTAACCCAATCATACCAGGGTAATCATAACCAAGTACGATGCTTTCTGGTGTGCTGGTCATGAGCCGATGGCGCTCAACCTCTGTGGACAGATTGGGGATTTCTGCCTGGTATTCACTTCCAATGCGTGGACATACAGGTGCTTTGTCATATATCACATCTGAAGCAATAGAAGCTTCTAAAGATGGTTGGTTTTCACCATTGTCTTTGAGTTCAAGTGACTCCATCTACCAAAATCAGAAGAAAAAATGTAATTTGTTGAGATAGATCACATATTTAAATTGATTAAGAAAACATGTATATAATCAACATTAGTAACTACAATGGCTTGTTTTTAAGTATATGAGCCAGAAGGGTACGTCGTTAACAGATCTCATTCAGGACTTTGGTGAGAGAAAACAGCTATTCAAAAGAAATTCAACACATGAAAATTTTGAGGCCTGGGTACTTCTATTAGAGTTCTTATATACTAGCTTAATACTGTGATGCGTCACTATTATACCTTCGGCGATAGAACACCACACTCAACAGGGAAGTATTGAGCAGAAATAATTTACTACATACAGGATGAGCAACTTTGGCGGAAATATGTAACACACGTCCAGAGTTCAACTTAGGCCCCATAAAGTAACCCACATTCATCAAATCCACCTCACACAAGACTGAGGACGAAATGGTTTCACAAAAGGGGTTAAGTTTTGAGAGGTACACAAAATAATTTGCAAAACGCTTGTTCACGGCAAGCTCCCGGCAATAATATTAAAGATAAAATGCAACTGTAAGCAGGACAACATGGACCATCAAACTGAGACCTTCCAAGCTCCAAAAGTCAACAAAACCTAGTGTGCGAGCGAATTACAATTTACTCCCTCCGTAAACAAATATAAGAGCGTTTAGATCACTAAAGTAGTGATCTAAACACTCTTATATTTTCTTTACAGAGGGAGTACATGGCAAAAAAAAGGAGTGTGAACACCAAATTGGAAGCAAATAAAGGCAATGCATATCATATTGTATAACCACTGCTGAGGACATGACTCACAATTGTAGAATGCTTCAAAAAATAAGCAAGACTGCAGTCGTCGCAGATTGGACCACCCAATATCAAGTAGCACTGCCAATTACTTATCGGGCGTCAAGCAGGGAACAATGACAACAACCTACCGTCAACCTAGGCGGTGCGTAACTCTCAATCGCTCGCCACAGCACCCAAATCTGGGCCACCATGGCGAGCAAATCCGTACTTCCAAGACCCCAACACGCACCATTGCGTTCTTCAAATCTCATGCCCAGTACCAACATACACTGCCAGCCACCCCATCAAACTCGTGGGGAACCTCCCGCACATGGCCGGGAGCAAAGCCACGGGCTTCCCCGGCATGGAGCAGCGAAGCGGAGAACCCCGGGCCGCGCTAACCAAATCCTGAAATCCAGGCTGTCCAACGAGGCGCGCGCGCACGGACACACGCTAAGCAAACCTAAAAATCTGTGCGATCACGGAAGGGAAGCGCCCGCGGCCGAAGCACGGCACCGCAACGAGCACGCGAGACGCGCCACCAAACAGCTACGGCATCATCCTAAGCGGAGAAGAAATGTAAGATTGGAGGAGGGAGCAGGGAAGCGAGGAAAACCTTAGTCTCCATGCAGGCGAGGCTCCGCTGCGGCGAAGCCTTCGTAGCTCCGAGCACGCGGGCCCTCCGATTCTCTTGTCGCACCCGGGAAACGGACGACGCCGGCCAGACAAACAACAGAATCTGCAGGTCCCACGGGAAGAGATTGAGCGGCGGTTGCGGGAGCCGAGCGCGCGACAAGCAGAGAGCAGCTGCAAGCCGCCGGGAGTAGAGTACGGTGAGGGCCTGCTGTCTGGGCGCGGTGGTGGTTCGCGGAGAGGAGGCAGAGACGGCGAGGCGAGGCGAGGCGAGGCGAGTCGGGCTTTAAAGACACGCACAAGAGAAAGAAAGAAGAGAACGGCGACAGCGACACAGAGATTGGTGGTGTGGTGTGGAAAGGTAGACCAGCAAATTGTTGGCCGGGCTGGGCCGGCGATGGGCCATCTGATTGTTTTTATGTACTCAAAAATAAAGAATATAAAACTTTATTAACAAAAGAGCCCGTGCGTTGCAACGGGTACAAAATAAATGAACATATAGCTTAGTCTAAGGTGAAGTAGGAAATCAATTGATCATGTTTACGCAGATCACATCTTGAAGGAGAAGTGTTGCTATGACCTATGTCTTTGAAAGGAGACTAATATTTAGTAGGATGGTTTCCGATGTGAAAATGTATGTTTTTTCAAGAATGGCCATTTGTAATTTTAAGTATTTCTACTTTTCTTTTGCTACATTTACAGTTGTTTCAGTGGTAAATTATTTTTCAGATTTGTAAGCAATCCAATATTCCAAAACATGATCAATATTAACAGGATTAATGATGGAATCGTGTATGGCCGTTATGATACATTAATCCCTAAATACAAATACAATGACATAAATGATCTCAAATAATCATATATGAATTAATTAATGATGAATTTGCAAAGATAGGGGTAAGATAACACAAAACATGTTGATGCAGCAATTAGCATGATTTATGCACCAACTAATGCACCACATATTTATGAAGGTCTGAACTCAACAAGAAAATAACTCACTGCCATTGTCACCATGTATTTTGGTCGAGCGATTGTCACCATGATGACCAAAGCTAGTAGTGCTTAGCCATAGCAACTGAGCAGTCATTGATGGTATTTTTCGTGACAGATTGGCAGAGCAAACGTCCAAGTTCGGGAGGACCGTGGCACACCCTGACTATGCGACAAACTGATGATGGACCAAACAAACATGCATGTGAGGTATGTACTCTGTACCAACTTTCGTAGCGATGGCTGGGAAAAAAATAGAAGACGATAGCCTGTCGAGTAAGATGCACATCGTTGAAAATAATCAAGGACGAAGCCAGCAGCAACAGGATCTGGATCAACCTAGACACTGCTTGGGGTGAGAAGCTTTATGTATGGGTCCTCCGTGCAAAAAGATGACGATTATATGCTATGCACAGACAGTAAGCCGTGCCTGTATACACAACCAGTTTTTTTAGGGATATCACAACCACGCATATGTTGAGACTTGCAACTCGGACATCTTAGAACGAAGCTGGACAGATAACAGATTTGCACCAAATATCATCCTAAAGCCCACACGAGAGCCCTTGTCTGCTCCACAAGAAGACGCCGCCTGGCCGACGCAGTACTCCTCTGTCGATCGCACGAGGCAGGTACCCAGCACTGCATGCATGTTTGTGGCCGGACATTGCGAAGGTGCTGGCCTCTAGAGTCTAGTCCCCGTGGGTTGTGGTCCGGAAGACAATCTGAAGCCCGTCGAGCCAGTCAAATCTCGACGACATTGACTGCGCTAGACTGCCGGAGCACGTCGAGCAAATCGAACATCGTTGACATCGGCCAAATCAAACGTCACCAGCGCCATGAATCCCATGCATATCAATAGATGGGCTCGATTAGCAAGGCTGCCGCCCAGCGCCGGCCAGATTGGTGGCGCCACGATCACGTGCAAGTCACCAGGTTGGCTCAATCAGCAAGCAAGCCCCAACTGTACGAACCTCGATGACATCGACTGCGCTGGACTGCCGGAGCACGTCGAGCAGATCGAACATCGTCGACATCGGCCAAATCGAACGTCAGTAGAGCCATGAATCCCATGCATTTCAACAGATGGGCTCGATTAGCAAGGCCGCCACCCAGCGCCGGCCAGATCGGTGGCGCCACGATCACGCGCAAGTCACTAGGTTGGCTCGATCAGCAAGCAGGCCCCAACTGTACAGGAAAGGTCGCGTGTTCTGTTTTACTGACCTTTGTGTTACCTGACGATTTGGATGCTCCTCTGCCTCCATGTATCCCCTCCTCTCTCCTCCTGTCTCTGCCTCCATGTATCCCCTCCTCTCTCCTCCTTTCTCTGCCCTGAATCGATATTTATGGGAGAGGTTAGGGAAGGCAGCGTAGAATTCTTGTTTGACTCCATCAGAGGACTATATCGTGAGAGGGACCGACAAATTAACCGGGCTAGCTAGGCAGAGGTTTGCGGGCGCAGGCCCACCTTGGGACGACAGCCAGGCCCACGGGGATAGCAGCCAAGGGGATGGACCAAAAATACTCGCTAGCGATCGAGGTAGGGCGAGTACCACCTCGCATATGCATTTTAAATTCAAAGTGAAAGCGTAAATTTACGGGAAGAAGCGTATTGTGACGGTAAACCCACGAAGTCAATTCGTGCTTTATTATTAGGAAAAGATCCATCAAATGAGTAATAAATCGTCTACAATAGCTGATGATAAAATAAAGCCCGGCATAACATCATCCCACATTAGGCTCAGACTATCAGCATCCCTTCAACAACTGGATAGAAGTAGCGACAGATGTTGCCTAGACATTGGCTATAATCTTACTGTCATTACTTTGTAAGGTCTTGTGTGAATAATTAATAAAGTAGTTGCATGCATCATCCAGATGCAGAGGCCAAGGGTCTTCCTCCTTTTAGAAAAACATCATCGTCCCACATATTGGATAATCTAGATCTAATATGAGGGCGGCTGAAGCTTGGGGCTCATCATACACCCGTCCATGAAAAGTAAATTCAAACAAAAGTAGCAAACATACATGAAAAAAGTTCACATCCAAAAGGCTTGAATGTGCCAGGGACGTATAAATTTCGGGTGAAATGGCATTCGAGGAGCTTTAGACAAAAATAATGATAATCAACTCCCGAATAAACTTTGTTAAAAGGAAAAGGCACTTTGAAGACTGATATTGCTTCTTTTTGTCTAGAGCTCTTTAAATGTCATTTCACCATGGAAATTTACACACTAGCGCATCCGAGCATCTTGGATGCCCAAAAAATTCAGACTTTTTGAAATGATTTGCTATTTTTTTTCGAATTCAGTGTTCATGGGGAGCAGATGAGTCTGAGCTCGGCAAACATGGTGGACATGACCCTCGCCTTCCCGGAGTCACGGCGAGCTCCTAGATATTGATCGCATCCCCACAGCCCTCTAGAACCCTAAGAATGACAAAGGCCGAGCTGTTCCGTTGCGCGACGACGAACACCGGCGATCACCATGAGTGAGCGAGCCCATGGCCATGTCCTTTTTTCGTCCATAGATGCCTACTTTGAGCCGTTCGTGTGCACACGAAGCCCTGCCAGCGCACGAGTACTTCGGCGAGCACCCAACCGTCGCCTCTGTCACCCTCGACGCACGCCGACGACACCTGCAACTTCGCCGTGCCACGCCGCACTCGTACGTTCCCTTCACCGCGCCCTAGGACCATCGGAATGCCGTCCCCATCTACTCCCAAGTTGTGCACCGCCATAGGCCTCATCTCCGACGACCCTCCGGTGAGCAATTTCCCTCCCCCAAAACCCTAGCTCGAATAAAACATGGACCGCTGGATTCCACTAGATCCAGCAGCACACGGAGCCCCTCACCGTGAAACGGTATCGGCCAATCGCAAGCCGCCATGTGGCCAAGCCTTATCCAAAATAAAAATGGAGTTAAATTAAATCACGGGATAAAATGACACTTTTACAGAAAACCTATTGTAACTTCAAACTATCATAACTTTTATTCTATAAATCCAAATTGAGTAATTCTTTTTGCAAAATGATCTTTATGAAATGTACTTTCACCAAGACTAATAAAATTTGGCATTTGAATAGCTTAAACCTGAATTCAAACATAATGAATCTAAACTCAAATAGGCATAACTTGCAATTTATAAATCCAATTGAATTGATTATTTTTGCAGAATAAATCTAGTGAAATGCAGTATCAACTTAGCTCACTATATTTCAAATTTAAATATTTAAAATTTAATTTTAAATATAGTTTAATAGTAACTATAATTCAAATAGTTCTAAACCTGGTTGACTTATTAGCTTAGAATAAAAGGGTTTAATTGAAATGATTATTTTTCAACATAGTTCAGAAAATAAAATATGGACGTTAGTAAATATTTTAGATTATTATTCAACTTTAGAAAGTTTAGGATTAATTAGAACTTAATTTGGATATAACTTTAAAACCATTTAGTTTGAACAAATCCTTTTGCATTAGAATTTAGCAACTTAAATTAAATCTAGTATTTTTTTGGGATTAAACTTGACTTTAGGGATCTAAACTTGACTGAACTTAGTGAGTGACTTTGGATTTAAACTTGACTTAGGTCAAACTTGAACAATGTTAAAATAATAACTTGAATTAGAATAAATAAACTTTAGTAATTATGTTGGATTCGTAATTAGGAGAGTAATAAATATGAATTGAATTTAGTTTGAACCTAAAGGAAACTTGAAGGTCATTTAAATAAACCAAATAAAATGAAATGGTTTACTAATGAATTTATGAACTAACCATAATCAATTATGAATTATTTTGAACTTGAAACATAGACAACGTAGTGTGTATTCCAAACTCATGAAAGGCCAACAAGTTTGGATTGACATTCAAACTTAAACATGAACTTGGTTATCCATTGTTCGTACACCATGACTCCAGTTGCAAGACTCTTTTGAATGAGTCTGGCAACCAAAACTTGGCATCACATATTCCTTATGTGATGAACCCCTCAAAATTG